TGGACACCCTAGAAAACTTGAACTCGTCACGACAAGGAGCTTGGAACTAGCGCGGTGGGCAGCACGACCATCTTCAACAGCGGAATATGTCTTCCCCAGCTAAATCATTCCTTTCCTAGAAATTAAAACAACAATCCATAGGATTTCGAGGTTATTAGCCTAGTGCAACATAAATCCTCAATCTTTTCGTCAGACATTTGTACAGCTCTGTTGTACAATCTAAGCCCTAACTCGTTTTAGGATTCCGAGGTTGTCATCCATCATGACCTAAACCCTCACATCTTTCAGGCTATTTGTGTGATCGTTTCACACAAATGTAAGCCCTAACTAATAAAATTGGCAGGATGAAATATTCAAATAATTTCTCCTCAAAACTAAAGATAGGGTAGACTGGGACGCCACCAAGGATCTCCTCTGAATCTGTGGCATCCCCTAATTCTTCCTCCATTGGATGCTACAATAAATGTTCCAAGTTTGAACCATTCCCTTTTTACACACATCTTTGTCCGATTTCGTTGAAAAGTCATATTCTTTTGAAGTCCTTGAAGATAATTTTTCCTGATTTTTATCGAGAGTATTTTTAAGTGACTTCGTCATTTAAGATGTAATTAACTATAGGGGTTTGCCCTTATAGGAAGCTTTTCCGGACCCAGCTTAAAATAAACTCTATTTAATTTTTTCATATTAAATAAGGAAATTTGTCGGCAAATAAAACGGTTTTGCAGACCAAACAGACGTCATATATATCTTAGTTTATTTAATCGAGTCTCATCCTCAAATCTTATGTTTATCCCTCGGGATAGATACAGGGTTTGAGGTAAAAGCGCTCTTTCATTTAAACTATGAACAATATAGGGTCAGTTTGATTTTCATATTTGATTTTAAAACTTAAATCTATATGTAAATTAAAAAGTCCTTCCGAAGCGGGCGACGGGATTTCGATTCCGGTGACCGACAGCTTCTTACGGGCAACAACAAACCACCACCACCCCTTTTTATCGCCGACAGCTACTATCTGCTATTTTTATCTCTTTGCAATGTAAAGTGCAAATAAAACTAATGAATTTTAACATCACATAGTATCACGATCTAAGAGAATAATTATAAGCTTAGCATTTGAAACTTTTAACTTCTCCTTACAGAAACATAATTAACTGAATAAGATGACCACATTCTGTGAGGCCTAATTAGAGAACCTGTAATACCAAAACATTTTTTTAGGCTTGCATCTGATAAACAATGTTTGAGGAAATTTATTAGTAATTGGGCAGGTTTAGAATGAACGTAATCCACAGTTCGAAGAAAAGGTGCAAAATCTTTAGTATACAACTAAGATTAAAATGCTCTTTTTCTGTCTATCTAAAAGCTCATCAAAAAGGCAGAAAATCATGAGTTAAAAACTAACGAATCAAATGCACTCTATCTTCCTAAAACTCCTTATGGTAAGAAAATCATGAATAAACAAGTCCACAGAAAAAATGCACTCTCTAAGGTATCTTATTAAGGGGGTCTTTGGTTGCACCTTGATTTTAGATTAAATAAGATTTATCAAATCCAGTAAAAATTCAGATTTATAAAACCCCTGCGATGGAGATGGAGATTGCTCCCGATGACGGATTAAATCCTTAAATCCCGCCTGTAGTCGGATTTACTAAATCCGGATTTAGGGATGGAACACGATAAAAAGAGATGGAACATGTGAAATTTTGATTTAACAGAGCGTTGGATTTAATTTGCATTTTTTATGCTGGGCAGAATTTACCTTAAATCCATGCCTAAATCTTATTTAAACAATGCTACCAAACACAGCCGAAGTAAAATACAAACATATATGAGGGTATAAACCTAACAGCACATGTTAAAGTGTCAGTTCTGACAAAATTGACGCATTCAGAAACAAGTACGCACAAGAAACGGTGATCCAAAAAAGCAGAACCGAATTAATTAAAAATCTATAAGGACCAAACTAATTTCTACCTGAAAACTAAATTATGAAAGAGATTATTTTATGTGTAGCAGCGCACACTTTGTTAGTTTAAATAATTACCTTCTCATCATCTACGGTCTCAACCATGTCAAGATTTGGAACACCACCTGTAGGCATCACAACAATATTACAATATTTATGCGTTATTCTAGATCAACTAAAAAAGATAGTTGCATTAGGCATACTTTGCAGCATCATAATTATTAATGATAAAATAGAAAAAAAAATGCATTAGGCATACTTTGCAGCATCATAACATAAACAATAAGAATGCCCCAAAAAATATAAAAGGTAGTGTCGGTGCTGAACTTTTTAGAAGTCCAAAGTCCAATCATATAACATAAACAATAAGAATGCCCCAAAAAATATAAAACAGTAATCAAATCATTTTATGTAAAGACATAACAAGGTTGCTTGAATCTATTGTTACTGACTCAAAGATAGTTATGCGTAATTAAGAAATCAAAGGTTACTATGTTACATCTTATCGAAGTATATACTTTTATCTAATGCATTTGTCTAACCTTGTTCCGCAAGCAAATCAACTCATGTATTGGTTCAAAATTATAAAACAAAGGCATTAAAATTATGGGGAGAAAAAGTAGAGGGATCTAGTATAAAGAGAATCCAGCAGAGAGAAAGCAGAGAAAAAAAATAAATAAGAGAATCTTTTAACCTTCATATTCTGATTCATTATCAAAATGACATCCACTCAACCTAGTTTACATAAATATGGTTCACAATTTTAATTTCAAATGTATATCTATATAACCTGCAAGTATCATCATTGAATTCAAAATTGAGGTAATCTAACAATCTAATACAATAAAAATAAAATAAATCCATAAATAATTTACAAAATAGTAGAAGTTTTTAAAAATGATTGAACAATATTGTTAAATATTTTGTATTACATAAAGTGATTTTGCTATTTTCCCTTAATTAATAGCTTTAGCAGGAGGATCTTTGTGAATATTTTATATAATTGGGACAAAATTGAAGGGTATCAAAGATGTTCGCTAAATTAAGGACTCTTAGGGACCTATATAATTCAAACACCACTTAATAAATTTAATATTCAAAGAAAAATAATTGATTATAATACACATTATTAAAGTGATTACCTAGTATTAGCTATTATCATTATATTTATGGATAGCACTAAGGAATTAAAATATTTAATATTGACACAGAAAATACTTTTCTCACTCATGTTCGAGTGGCGGTCTTCCCTAACAAGGCTGTCATGATAAGCTACCACAAGTGTGCTGCTACAACTAAGACAGTCCAAATCGCATGCAACTCGTGAGCATAAACCACCAAATCAATGCAGAGCTGGTTGCTAAAATATTATTTTGAAAACTAGTAAAAATACTGAAATAGGTGTTTCAAGCATTTCAAGAAATAAGTCCTTTTGTGAAAATAGGAAATATGTGAGATAGGCCAAACATGTTTTCTGAATTTATATTCTATTTTCTCATGATGCAAAAGTAGAAAACACGATAATTATTAGTTCCAAATATGGCATAAGTAAATAGCCCACGACAATTATTAGTTCCAAATATGGCATAAGTAAATAGCCCAATTAAGTTTTTAAATCTCAGTAAAGCTTTAACGGGCCGTAACCCACAATAATGATTCAACTAAAGTTTAAACAAGCAAAAGCAAATTCAAATTTTAGCCTAAGAAAAGAAATGTACCTAGAAGGGCCTTGACTTTGTTGCTTTGCAGGTTTCCAATGAAATGCCATTCGATATCGGCAGGAAGCTGAAAAGAAGAACAACAAATTAACAGTTTTCCTCGACACAAGAATTCAGTTCTCCTAAAAATTATTGCTATTCAACATTTGCAAGAAGCACAAAAACGAAAATTGCTAAATTGCAAATTTTTGTTATACAGATAAATTATGTTACAAAAGATGTTGGATTAATATTATAATGTTTAATTTGAGCATAGAACTATAGATGTTGAACCTAGATTTGTTCACCTAAGAAATAGAGCATTGGGAAGGAGAGAAAACAAGGGGGAGAGAACTTGAGCAAGATGAGGATGATTAGAGGAGATTTTTTCGTAGCTCTAGGGAGCGGAAAATGGGAATCTATTTTACAATTAATAGCCCTTATTTGTAAGGGCTAGTCTCCATAAAATGGCATGTTTAGACCAATATTATCCCTAGACCTCTACGCATACAGCCTTGTACGATCTTTCTCTTGGTTAACTCCTTTACTAAATCGGGAGATTCTTCCCCCTGGTTGTTTTCTTGCTCGGCCTCTCGTACATGGTCTATCATACAAGGCCGCTCGTACTCCCCATCCGATACTCGGCCTATTGTACATGGCGTCTCGTACTCCGCATCCGGTACTTGGCCTGAGAATGCTTTGCTTGACTTATGTCTGATCGTTTGACACTCCAGGTTCACTCTTCGTAATCCATTTCCAGATTCATCTATTCAACAAATTTATATTGATGGATGAGCCGAGAGCTACTCAATCCCTGCTAATCTGAGTCGTCATTTTTTGGAGATGCATATTTAGTTCACCAATTTTCTATATCTTAGAAGGTTATGCTACGAAAAGAACGAGTGAAATAAATACAATAATTATCCCTAACTTTTAATAAATGTTCATAATGTGAATATTACGATGGATTCTGGTGTCTTTGACTCTTATAAATAAAGCATCAAGACATCTTTTAAGCCCATTTGCTTCAGCATTCTGACCTTGCTTTTCATATCTGATCACCTCCCTGCATGCATTAGCAATAATGACGGATCTTACTTAGTCACAGACAAATATTTTAGACAAAGAATTGCACTATAGTATGTTTGACTAGCATAAATATGGAGAGGGCACAACATGACAGAAGGTTGTGGAGAAGCTAAGAAGGGTCGACCCGTCACGCGTTCAGGGGGATTGACCTACTCTGGCAAATGTGTCATGGTGGTAGTAGCCCTTGGGGTAAAGCCATCAATGGTTGGTATGGTTGGTGGACGCTTCCTCAGGTGACCATCCCTACTCCCATGGGTTCTCCCGGCCACGAGCAGGTGCGTCGAGCGGAGAAGGAATCTAGAGTTTCAGAGTTCGTTGTAAATTTGAACTTATCAAGTATACACTAAGATATTATTATTTTACTCATGCTATAGCAAACTATGTTTTATTTTTAATTCCCATTTTCGCATGTACATATTCTACCCTTAGCGAACTCTGTGGACTTGACCATTGCACAAAGAGCTCGGGTCAACTGAAACTTGAATGAGTTTTCCAGTGCACTGAGTAAGCGAAGACCGGAAAAGATTGTGAGGCAACACCTCACTCTAATCTGGATGAAACAGATAACACTCTTGTGCACGCGGCAGACATGACTACTGCTGCGAAAGTAGTTGTCCAAGTGGCTCGGTTGGATAACTTGAAGCGAGAAGTTGTCGTACTAAAGTAGACAGTTGTTGAGTTGTGCCAGGAATTGGTGGATATGAAGGAGAGAGCCTTGGTATCTCAAGCTCAAGTCGAGTCCAATCGCTTGAGTAAGTTTTGGACCGAGTATGAGTTCATGTTGTTTTGGCTTATTCTGCTTGGTCATCTTTTGACTGATATCATTTTGAGCCCCTACGTCAGTTTCTTTATTCATTCTTCAAATTAATGTAATTCTATCTCTAGACCTTCGATAATACATTTTTATGTTTTATTTGAATAAAATGTATTTGGGTGCGACCACATCAACACCAGTGCACCTGATCCCATCATAACACCGCAGTTAAGCGTGCTTATGCGAGCGTAGTATTAGGATGGGTGATCTCCTGGGAAGTCTTCGTGTTGCACTACATTTTGCAATATTTCAAATTTTAAACACTGTCGTTGCCGGTTTCAAGCCCGGATGTGAAAAGTGGAGGGTTGTATTAGGTAATCGACAACCAGCGTAAAACTTGTCGAAAAAAATCATGACATGAATACTTTTGATCATTGTGTAAGTGCTAGGGCGTCCCTTGAAAGCAACGCGTTGTATATCCTGAATACAGTGAAAAGTGTGCAAGGGCCGCTACACCGACTCTCGGGTGTAGTGTTAAATAAGCAAGGGTTCTCATATTATGGGTGAATGCGGGTAAAGAAGTTAGTCCATGAAACTAATGAAACTAATATTAGGATAGAATCTTGGAATATAGGTACTCTCAATGATAAATTAATGGAATTAGTTGATATTATGATTCATAGGAAAATTAATATCTTATGTATTCAAGAAATTAAGTGAGTTGGAGAAAAGGCTTGGGAGATTGATAATTTAGGTTTTAAATTTTGGTATTCTGGTAAGAGTTGGACTAGAAATGGTGTAGGTGTAATTATAGATAAGAGTTTGAAAGATAATGTTGTAAAAATTAATAGAATTGGAGATAGAATTATAGCCCTTAAGATTATCATTGATACTAAGATTTTTAATATTATAAGTTTTTATGCTCCTCAAGTAGGTTTAGATGCATAGTCTAAAGATAAATTTTGGAATGACTTAAAAGACTTAATACAAATGATATCTCTTGACAAAATTTTTATTGGAGGATATTTAAATTGACATATCGGTAGAGTGGTAGAAGACTTCAAAAATACTCATGGAGGCTACGGGTTTAGAGGAACTACGGTTTTAGAGTAACTAATGAAGAAGGTAGAGCCATTTTAGATTTTGCTTTAGCGTACGATTTTTTTATTACTAATACTTTATTAAGAAAAGAGATGAGCATCTTATTATTTATAAGAGTAGATCTAATAAAACACAAATTGATTATTTTCTTATGAGAAAAAGAGATCGTAGCGATTGTAAAAATTGCAAGGTCATTTCAAGTAAAAAGTTAAATACTCAACATCATTTATTAGTTCTCATAAGTAAAATTACCCATCATCGTAGAATTAGACAGAGAAACTTAAAAGACACAAATAAAATTATTTTTTTAAGTAAAATTCAAGAATTCAAAATTTGGGATATTCATGAAAAAACAAATGTTATGTGAAATAAAGTAACAACCACTATTAAACAAGTAGTAAAAGATGTGCTTGGAGAATCAAAAGAAAAAATTTTTATAAATAAAAATAGTTGGTGGTGGAATAATAATGTGCAAGAAAAAATAAAATATAAGAAGTTATGTTATAAAATTTGGTTTAAATGTAAAAGCTTAGAGAACTAGCACAACATGCCATATCCATTTTACCTTGTTCCCCATAATGGAAGCCCTACTTCCAATTAAATATGACTTACATAGCCAATGGAGGATAGTCGCCTTAAATTTCAATGATGGGAGAATAATCATAATATGAAAAATATAGAAAACCAAAAAATGAAAATAGTTAAAAATTTAGTAGAAGAACTCTGAACCTAATGATCTATGAGATAATGGACCTCGAGAATCTAGAAATAATGAAAATGGAAGTAGCAACTAAATAATATTTAAGAAGCAAATCACCCCTAGTTCTTATCTGTTTTAGACATTTATTGGGAGAGAAATACAAAAGACTTGAAGTGAAAATATCCCGAAGATCAAATATCCATATAAAATGAGGAATCATTTTACCCACTTTTTTTGTTTTTAATTTTATCCTATAATATATTTTTATAAAAAATCATATTAGTAGTTCCTCACAAAAATTTTATCCTATAATATATTTTTTACAAAAATCAAATTATATTATTAAGTTGATGTGTCATACTTTAAAATTATGGGAGAGGGTAATTGAACATAGGTTAAGATGCATCACACAAATTTCTCATAATCAATTTGGATTTATGCCGGGCAGGTTTACTATGGAAGCTATACATTTATTGAGAGGTTTGATGGAGAAGTTCAGAGATAATAAGGAGAATCTACATTTGATTTTTATTGATTTAGAAAAAACTTAGGATAACGTTCCAAGAGATATCCATTGGAGATTTCTTGAGAAGAAAGGTGTTGATATGACTTATATTCAAGTCATTAAAGATATGTATACTAGAGTTGTTACTTATGTTCAAATTGAAGGATGATTGACCAAATATTTTCCTATTTCTGTTGGATTACATCAGGGATCGGCTTTAAGCACATATCTTTTGCTTTAGTTATGGATGGTCTTACTGGACATCTACAAGAGGATGTACCTTGGTGTATGCTTTTTGCTGATGATATTCTTCTCGTGGATAAAACGAGAGAAAAAGCCCAGGAAAAACTTGCATTATGGAGGTCTAAATTGGAGTCTAAAGGCCTCCATTTAAGTAGAACTAAAGCTGAATACATTGAATGTAATTTTAATAGTAATAGCTCTAATGACAGAAGTGTGACTTTAGGTGATCAAATTATTAAAAGGTGTGAACGATTTAGATATCTCGGGTCTGTTGTTCAAAGCGATGGTGATATAGATGGGGATGTTAATAGTAGAATTCAAGTTGGTAGGTTGAAGTGGAGGAATGCTTCGGGCCTTTTGTGTGATAGAAAAGTACCGCTAAGACTGAAAGGAAAATTTTATAAGACGGTGGTGAGACCTGCAATGCTCTATGGCGCTGAATGTTGGCCTTTAAAAGAGAAGCATAATAATAAGTTAAGTGTTGCCGAGATGAGAATGATTAGGTGGATGAGTGGCTTTACACTTAGAGACAAAATGCGAAATGAATATATCCGTGATAGGGTTGGTATAGCTCCTATGACAGACAAAATTAGAGAAAGTTGTCTTAGATGGTTTGGTCACATTAAACGTCAACCATCTAATGATCTGATTAGGAGAGTAGATGTTTTAGATTCGATATGTGTTAAGAAAGGCAGA